TATATTCTTATTATGTAGTGGAATATACTACAACCCTCTTCTTAGAACTCTTCTTTGAAACCGTACCTCCATTGATAATGAATACATACCATGATTGTTACTTACAATCATCCTGATCTGTTTGGAAGCATATTTGTAACACTTTACACCAAACTTCAATAACCAAGGAATGTATCATCCTTAGTTTTTCTTAAGTACTTTAGAATGTTCTTTATAGCCATCCAATGACTTTCTCCTTGATTTTGATTGTATATGTTTGTTATGCTCAAAGCAGAAGATACATCAGGTCTAGTACATAATGTGACATAGCTGATGGATTTAATAGCTGAAGCATATGGAACGCAATTCATCTTCCCTAGCTCAACTCTTTTATTAGGACTTTAAGATGAACTCAAAATCATAATAATTAACATGTCTCGTTTTCACAGACCCTCTCTTAGTGTATTCCATCTTGACTTTCTTCAAGACTTTGTCAACATATGCACTTTAACATTAGCCTATTAATCGCTTGAATCTATCTTTATATTTCTTAATTCGAAGAATATAAGTAGCCTCTCATAAATCTTTCATTGAGAAGCACTTTTGGAGCCAAGACTTATGTTATCTACAAACTAAACTAGGAATGACACCATACTCCCACGGTTTATCTTGTAAACACAAGTCGTATCTTAGTTCTTGATAAAACCATACTTTGTGATTTCATCGTTGAAAAGAATATTCTATGTTTGAGATGCTTGCTTAAATCCATAAACAGATCTCTTAAGTTTACACACTTTATTATAATGTTTTTGACTAACAAAACCTTCATTTTGAACAATATAGACATATTCTAACAAGTTTCCATTAACAAAAGCGTTTTTGACATCCTTCTTCCATGTATCATAGTCATAATATGCGGTTGTAGAAAATAATTGATGTGAATTTGGATGGTGATCCTCCAATATCTATGTTCAGTCTGAAGTCAATTAAGTCTGATGGTAAGTTCCAATGGCAAGTGAAGGTATCAGTCCCGAAATCAGAACAAGGAATGGATGAAGAAGCATTACTAATACAAATTTGGAAGGAGTTTCAAATTCCAACTATGGAGGAGTTGGAATGCGATTGGTTCTAATTGCTTATGGTTGCTAAATCCAGAATATAACTACAATGTGATGAGATTGCGAATGGTTACAATTGGTAGCGAACAAATGGGCAAAAGTTGAGTCTTTCCGACGAAATTCGAACAAGTGCGATTGGGTGCGAACGATTGCAAACTATCATATTTAGTTGATGGTCATTACGATATGAGTTATAACGGTGAGGTTAGGTTCGCACTTGCTTGTGACTCGATGCGAGGGAGAGTTCGGATGCGAGCGGGCAAATAAATGTGAAGGCTATCTCGGTTCCAATGGGATATTTTGATATGATAGGTTTCTTGGATGCGAATGATAGTTTGTGTCGAGGAGCTTGGATACGAGGCTGCTGGAATGTGAAGGGTGTTTGTCGGTGGCGAATGGCTTTGGCACTCGGTGCTACTTTACACGTGCCACTATCCTGTACGCCTTGGAAGTTGTAGCTACCTTTTCCACTTCCCTAAACATTATCTTCCCAATACTACTTTTATTACTTTTAGTATTCTTTTATTTGGTGTTTTAATATGCCATTAATTGGCATAGTAATTAGGTGACTTAGTTTCTTTTATTTGTTATTTTTGTAACCTATATATCAATGTCTATCATTTGTAAAGAACTGTGATGTTGAAAATATAAACTTGAACTGTTGTTTATTAGAGTTGTCGCATGCATTTCCTAAATCTGATATTGAACTCAAGTTAATAGGTCTTAATTTGTTTTCATCGAAATCAAGTGAATAGGTCTTGTCTTCACCGAAGTTTCAAGCTATATGTTTAGTTTAATCTTCATATTATCCTTTTATTGTTATTTTCATTATCCTTTGTTCTTGTTTATTGTGTTATTCCACTGTAAATTCAATTCTAAGCTCCATTTTTCAATTCAGTTTTGGTGTTGGAAATATGAGTCGTGTTGTGGACTCTTTGAGCTGTCCAAATATGCATCAATAATATCCTAATTGATTTAATCACAGCAATTGGAGAAAAAGTCTCATCATAGTTAATACCATGAGTTTGAGTGAAACCTTTTCCAAAAAGTCTTCCTTTATATGTGTGTAGATTACCATTCATGTTAGTCTTCTTCTTGAAAACCCACTTCCTTCCTACAATTTTACTATAGGGATGAAGATCATCCAAGTCCCATACTTGATTTTCATATATGGATTGCATCCGATCATTCATGGCTTCAACCTATTTTTTCAGATTCAAAATATGACACAATAGTTTGGTGGTTGATGGGTTCATCGGAATCCATAAAGAAACATTCTTCAATGAGAAATCCATATATCATAGGTTCTTGACAAATCTTATCAGATCTATGAATGCCTTGTGCTTGATCGTTATTAGTCAATTTTGATTCGTATGAGAGAAGGATAAAGCATTGCTTACCATGATATGTATGTTTGTGATATATATATATATATATATATATATATATATATATATATATAGATATATATATATATATATATATTGTCGGAAACCCATTTACCCTTGTGAGAAAGGCATGATTTAAGGTTATTCTTTTCTTGGGATGGAGTAACTTGATGGTGAATTGTTCATTAGGAAGGAGCACAAAGTTTTACCTCTTGTCTGGGGAAGGAGCAATCTTATTGGCTGAGGCTGAACCATTTGTTCTGAAGATAAACCTGGTTATCCGAGGTTGGACCTGATTGGCTGAAGCCAAACCTTGTGTTGAGGATGACCTAGTTAGCCGAGGCCAAACCTGATTGGCTAAAGTTGAACCACTTATGTTGAGGATGAACCTCTTTAGTTGAGGCTTAACTACTTTACCGAAGCCAAAACTGATTAGTGGAAGCATGTTTGATGAACCATGTTCGCCCGTATCGGGAAAAAGGTCTGATCGGGGATACATGTCATCACCATGCAAGAGTAAACCACTTCAAAATGTTATTCATCACTTGTAAATTATACTTCTTAAGCATTAAAGAGCTAATACAAAATAATCCTTAAAAGAATAAGCATATTAATAACATAATTCTTCACTACACCATGCAAGATAGAATGAGGAAGAAAGAAGAGAGAACTTAATCTCTCGTTTTGGGGAGAGAAAAGAAGAGAGGAATACATGCAAAAAAGTAGTTATTTTTTCTTCCATACTCTTCTTCATATTCTAACATGCATGAGATAAGGACCATACCATCATTTTATGTAAGAGCCATGTTTTCTTACAAAGCATGGGTGAAATAAAAGTTAAACACTCAAGCATCCATTCCCCTTATGTCATTCATGGATTTGGAGAAAGGAGGTGGTATTGGATTTTCTATGCATCTCTACACTAGATTTAGCTACCGAAGGCATACAAAAACAATCCTAGTATACATGCACACTAGATATAGATTTTACTATTATGTCAACATACTTTCAAAACTTTTAAAATAAACTAATCAAAAGGGACAAGAATACCAACCATTAGGACAAAATCGTATTCTCCCTTGACCACTTGTAGATCTTGAACTCAGTTGTTGTACTTGGAAGAGCTAGCACGCAAAGTAGGAATGGCTCTAATGCCTCACCCTTAAAAGACTAAAACCCTAAAATATTTAGGAGAGAGGACAAAGGGACATGAGAATAAAATTCTCAATATTGTGAAGGTTAGGAGCGAAAATATCAATTCTCTAAGCGTGTATTTATAGTTGAAATAACTTGCAGGAAAATGTGTTTTGAATCTATTACATAATCAGATTTAATCTAAATTTAAATCATTTCCTTATTTTTACACAAATTGATTTTGGAAGCCGACAAGGTTCCCAAAACCATACACACTCATTAGGGTTTATAGAATACTTGTCTTGTTTAACTTTTGAAAAATTAACATCCAGTCCCCACAACTTTAATCAATTCCTAATTAAATCAAATTAATTCATATTAATTTAAATTTATTCAAAATTAATTTTAACAAGTATTTAATTAGTTTATGAAGCTATCATAAGTTGTTATACTATTTATCTTACTCTCTTAAATACTTTCTAGCTATTTTAGATCTTGATGGCAACCCAAAAATGGATTTTTTATTATTCCATAGTTATACCAATTTAGTTATTACATTGGACAAGTATTTCCAATAGGTAGGTCCAAGATGTGTCTTTCACTCATGTATAAAACTAACATATACAATGTAACATTTAAATGAAATGGAAAGGGTCCAAATAAATGTCCATGATATATATATATATATATATATATATATATATATATATATATATATATATATATATATTCATACCATCACTACAAGAAAAACAGCATTTTATGACGCGCAATTAATGATCCACACTGATAGAGGATGCGCATTTGTGCGTGCCCTAAAAATTAATGTCAGTTTTCCAAAATTTGAAGGATAGAAGACACGCATTTTGGGCGCGCCCCAAAATTAGTGCCCAACAAACAAAACACGGAGGGCACCTATCATAAAAGGCGTGTCGCGTAAATATGTTGTTTTCTATTTTTTAGAAAGGCGCATTCTACGTTGTTTTAATAATCTATGGTGGGAAATGAAATTCCAAAAAATTAAATAGTCGCCTGATTCATCTCCTTATTCTCCTTCTAAAATCCTCTAACAAAAAACCCTAATAATCCTTGTTCGCCTGATTCATCTCCTTCTTCTCCTTCTAAAATCCTCAAACAAAAAACCCTAATAATCCTTTTGAAGCAACCCTCTTCCTCTATCTCTGCACACACACACACACACTCTCTCTCTCTCTCTCTCTCTCTCTCTGGAAAACCCTAATCACCCTTTTGGTTTTCTGATCTAGGTTCATCCGCTCTTGCGTTCGCTCCTATCGGACCACCATAGTCCCCCACCGGATCGCTAAAACAGTAGCCACCGATGCACCACTTCACGCTTCTGGTTCGGTGTCCCCCTCCCTTAATGTCTACGATCGACAAAGGAGATGATGGACAATACTACTACTCCATTACTCACATTTCGATATTTCATATCTGTACACCCGATATAGAGATTTTTGGGGATAACAATATCACTCATCTCTCTTCTCCGCCACCGTCGCTGACCCACGCACCTTCCGATTTTGTCTTAAATTTCTTAAAGATAAATGCATTGAGGTCAATTTTAAGGGTGTCTATGTGACAACCAATCCGCATATTGATGTGTGTTCTACCTCTATTTCATCCAGGTATACAGTGATCTCCATCGATATCTCCTCCAGGTGCTCTTGTATTTTGATTTTGATTTCATTTGGTCTTTCTTTTCTTTTGCTTTTGAATTATTTTGATTTTCTGTTGTCTCGGTCTTCCCTCTTTTCTTTTGATCATCTCCTATTTGAAATTCCTACCACTCTGTTGCCGTATCGGTCCATCAGAGGAGAGGGCGAGCGCCAGATGGAGAGTGACAGTTGCAGAGACCCTAATGGCATTCCGAAACCGAAAGAAGAAGAAAACCCAAAAAATTCGAATGCCAAGCCAAAAGTAGTAGTGATAATGGGAGCAACAGTTTATGCATCCATATCATTTCACAAGTCAATGTCTTCGTTCTTTCTTCATCAATGTATCATCACTAATCATCTGTGATTCTCTGTCTATGTAGTAGTGCCACACCATCTCTTGGGTACAATCAGCCCTATGGTCGAGTTCACTGCAAAGGATTTTAGGTATTCCTTGTTCTCCATACTAAGTACATTCATAAGTAATGTTTTAAAGGAATAAAGCTTTAGATCCTTATGAAGATACTAAGTAAATATATACATTGCTTGGGATTTCTCCATACTGCAAGGGAAAATAAGCATGATAATCATGAATTAATATGGATGTTTCAAAACAATCCTTGAATTTTTTGTAAATTAAGCAACAGTCCCTGTACTTTCACTTTTTTCATAACGGGCCCAAACTTTTTTGGAAGTTGTGGAATGACCTATGGATTTTTCATAAAAGTGTCAATTTCTCTTAAGATTAGCAGATGATTATTGACCTTTTGTGTAAATTTTCAAATAGCTCAAATTCTTTAAAACTAAGAAATCTTTAAGAAACAGAAGGAAAAAGGTCAAATATTGGGAAAAAAAAGTCTATTTCTGTGGATATGATATGACAATGTAGAAAGTATACCTATCTTGTTACAGGACATTGGGTTTTTTGTGGAGCACACAAGTTCTAGTGGACAGAAAACAGTAAGTTCATGTCTTATAATTTTTTATTTTTCTCATTATGTAATGTTTAAATAAATAATGTTTAAAACTTTTTGGAGAAAAGAAACACTTTATATATAATATAACTTACTGGATTAAGTCATACTTTCTGTGTTTGTTTTCATATAGCTTATCTTGCCCCACATGTGATACGATTCTAACCAAGTAAGTAACATCTTCCTGCAAGTTTAAAAATTTCCATTTAAACCAAAAGTAAATTCAGAGGGTAAAAATGTCTTTTTGCAGGATAATTTCTGCACAGTCATGGCTGGCAACTACACACTTGTATGGGACAATTCACATTCAACCTTTTTCAAGAAGGTTGGTTGTTTGATTCTGCTGAAAATGACTTCTTAGAACATTTTTTCTCTTGTGTGCTCAAAAGACATGAATACCCTTATCATTGTTATCATCTATAATGTAGTTAATGTTGTTATATGTGTAAAAACAGGCTCTTCACTACAAAGTGGATTGTATTCCACCTGTTGTACAACCAGTGCCCTCAATTGAATCGGAAGATGGAGATGGGATAATTTGATGTGTAAACTTTCTAACTATGTTATTAATGACTTATCCTAGTAAAAATCGTTGTTTCATTGCACTAAGTAAATTCATAAGGGATGCCTTGGGTACAAAAAATCCAAGGACTGTTTAAAACATTACTTAGTATCTTCATAAGGATCTAAAGCTTACAGAAATTTCAATCTCTAAATTTAGTATAACTTGTAGTTTTATTCCTTGTTCTCCTTGATGTTTTTACGCACTTGTGAGTCGATTTCTTTTAGATGATTCAGCTGTGGATACTGATGAACTCAGCCTAGATGAAACATATGGTAAACAACATTTTTCTACTTCAAATTCTTATGAACTCTTTTAACAAATAGACATGACATTTCTGAACAAACCCTTTTTATGAACAGGAGATAAACAACAACCTAATGAACTTATGCAAGAACAAGAGAATTTTACTTATAGTTATGATAATCTTAAAGATCATGATCCACTTGCAGCAAATAGAATTCATCCAAATGACCATAGAAAGGTAGGCGGTATTATCCTTCCAAAATTGAAATGTCCTTACTTTTGCAAATTTTTTGTACATTTTTAATATAAATGAATATTTGCAGATTATTCAATACCTTCATTTATATGCTTCATCTGGTGTTCTTCCTAGCAAATATCTTCAGGAAAAGACTATGGAGGTTGGTATCTCATATTCCTCCAAAACAATACTTGAATAATCCAAACAAGTTAACTAACAGAAATAGCAACATACTTTCATTGATTTGTTTATTATATCATTATCATTCAAATACAAACTGAAAGTAGAATGCTATTTTTTGCAATTATTTACTTTACTGAGTTATAATCTTGTATATGTCAGAACAGAACTGGGGAAATGTAGATAATTTGAGATACAATTGTTCTTTTTTATGTTTGGACGCTTCTCTCACTATTATAGACAAATATGTAGACAAAAGGGTATAGAAGTTAATGTAGTTTGTAATTTCCAATTAAGCTAGAATCCAAATTCAATTTTGTTTTAGTTATAATTTTACTGTGTAGGATCTGGATGGGAGAAATATCAGTTATGTTTGAATGGAACATTGTTGATGTTTGAAATCTAAATTGCAAACTTATCAGATTTGTAAATTGGTTCCACCTATTCGAAGTAAAATACTTTTATGGTTTATTAAGGGTTTTTTTTTTGGGTTATTCATCTAACACCGTAAATCTCAAAACAATTTCTTTTCAAATTTTTATAAAACATAATTCATTTAATATTCAGAAAACAACCATTTTCAATCGTTCAATCCAAGTAATACAAAATCCCAAGATCTCAAAATCATAAATCTCATGCGTGTGTACTAATCAAGTCGGCGCCTTCCCGCGGTCGTCACTAGTACCTGAAACAATTAACATCAAACACTATAAGCACAAAGCTTAGTGAGTTCCCCAAAATACCACATATAACACATATTAGCCACTCGAGGCTATAACTCTATGGTTCCGTGCACCCAACTCTGTGAACCCTCAGGTTCTAACTCTGTGAACCTTATGGTTCTAACTCTGTAAACATGCACAGCATAAATCACATAGAAATAATGCAGTACAACACATAACATACATAGCATAAAAATACTCTATCACATAACTCTGGTTACCTACTCAAGGTAAAGTATAGTGAGAAGACTCACCTTGCTTATCTCGGAATCACTAGCGCTCGATCTCCCGAGCTATCGTCCTCGTACAACACAAGCATATCTCTACTTAATACCACCTTGATCCTGGCTGGCTAACACTACAAAGTCAAACTAGTCAACTCTGGACAACGGTCAAAGTAAACCCCTGACTGACTATACTCGCCGAGTCAACCCGATGACTCGCCGAGTCCCCAAGCTCAGAACTTCCCTCAATCCGCGACCTGACTCGCCAAGTCCAACAACTCTGAGTCCACTCGCACCCAACTTACCGAGTCATTCCTTGACTCACCGATTCTCGACTCAACCAGAAAATATTGGGATTCTTCGACAAGACTCGCCGAGTCTAAGGCTATCTTCAACCTACTCGCCAAGTTGTTCATCTAACTCGTTGAGTTCCAGCTCATCTTCAAGCAACTCGTCGTGTCCACCCTTGTGACTCGCCAAGTACCACCGGTCTGAAACCATACAGAAGCGTTCCAGGCCATGCAATTGATCCAAAACATAGATCTAGCCTCCTACAACCCATCCATCACATAAAGTGACAAACTTTACGTGAATCCAAAGAGAGCTAGGCCTTATACACTTTAGAGCTAGGGTTTGGGACATGATGGCTTCACTAAGCACTCAAACAAAGGGACTTTAATGCACTCTAGACCTCCCCCATTCCAGATCTGAGGTAGAAACCTCAGATCTAACCTCCAAACTCCAAAACATACCAAGATAAGCTCCCATAAACCCCAAAATGATGAATCCATATGAGTAACAGCCCAAGAACAAGATATTACCTCAAAAGAACGCCCCAACTGCAATGAAACTCGAATCCAAGCAAAGCCCCTTGCTCCAAGCCTCCAAACTCCCAAGATTTCTTCAACAAATACCCTTCAAGCTCCCAAATGCACTTTGATCCACACACACACGAATACTAAGGGTTTTTGGACTTGAGGATGAGTAAAGAGGCTAGGGGAATGGATGTTAAGTTCTTTATATAGCGCTCAACCCCGAGAATTAGGGTTTTCTCCACTCAGCACCTACTCTTCGAGTCCATATTTGGACTCGCTGAGTAGGCCACTTGACACGCGACCAAAGTCGCGACCCTACTCGCCGAGTCCATCCATGGACTCGCCGAGTTGCCCTTTAAGATTTACACTTTTAGCCCTTCAACTCTACTCTTGATATTTCGGGGTGTTACAATTCATGTTTATCCATTGTTTTTGCAACATGTCACTACAGTCAAGTGTTTGAGCAAGCTGGTCGAGATCCAGGGGTAGCTTTTCACAAGCAAGGGGATGCATTAGATGATTCAACAAAAAGATGGTAAGTAAGTTTAATACATGATTGTTAAATGTTAACATTATAAAGCAAAATTAAACATGGTTCTGTAACTTTTGTTCATATTAATTTTTTATTACCTATGATTACAACATGGATGCACTATGTGGTCCTGATGGTGAACTTCCAAAGAAGTTAAGGAATTTAGAGCCTCGCCTTATTGAGCACATTAGTAATGAGCCTCTTCTTATTCAGAAGCCTTATGTTATAGTTATTTTACAAGAGCAATGGCCATTTATGTAATTTTATCAGTGCCTAAATCTTGTATCAAAATGCAGATTGTACAATTGACAACATTCGGAAAATTTGAAGAAGCTTTGCCATTGTTTAAGCTACTTGCACCAGAAGATTCAAACCATCGAGCCTTAAAGTTGCAGTCAACTCATATCAGGTAATATTTATGGATCTGAGAAGTTTTTTTGGATTTGAGTGGTAAAGTTTACTTAACAAGAGCTTCATCTGGTATGTCAGATGACATGGAAACTTCTTCACCTTCTCATAGACTGAATAGGTTATATCAGATGTTGTTCGACACACCCATGAAAGCAATCGATCCAAAAGATCAAACAAGGTAACAATTTAACATTATTTAGAGTGAAGAGTATGTTATTTTTTGTATATGTTATTTTATTTTCTATTATGAGACATAAAATGCAAATTTAATTTGAAAATTAGTAAATCTATAAATAATTTTTAAAAAAAAAATTACGATACGCATAAATGTGTGTCATCTTCATTTATGACATGGCCTTTCTTGACAGCGACTTTAATGATACGCATTGCGTGTCATAAATACGCGTCGTAAATGTGTATCGTCTATAGATGACGCGCAAAAGCGTGTCGTCTCTCGTTATGACAGGGCCTTTCTTGACGCGTATTTGCGCATCATCTGAGAGTTTTACGACGCGCAATGAGCGTCGTAAAAGGCCTTTTTTCTAGTAGTGCATGTAAATATATCTAGTTATATTCTCTTTTTCTTACCATTTCCTAAAAGTAATAATTTTCCTATTAGTTGTTAAAATATTATTTTCATAACATAATAACTTTCAAATTGATACAAGTGTTGATTATATTTATTAATAATTAAATTACTCTAATAAATAATCAATAAGTAGTAACTCGTTATACGGTGTGACCCAGTAGGATCACATGTTATTACAAAATATCATTATATAAATTCTCTTTGGCATATAAATCTTTCAGTACCATATCACTCGACTTCAACTGTAACGACCAAAAATTTGAACATAATTTAAACTTTTCCAAACAATTCATTTAATAACATTATTACAAAAAGGTTTTCAATACATCACCTATCAGAATATTCCCAGGTCCATTTCATAAAACATAAACGCGAGGAACAGTACGATCACGCCTTTCCCTTGCCACAGCCTCCTGAAGAACCTGAGAAACATTAAACCACAACTGTAAGCCCGAAAGCTTAGTGAGATACCCCCAAAATACCAACCACATAAACGCCCTTCCAGGCCACGACCTTCCAGTCCAAAACATATTGCCTTCCGGCCCACAACATATTGCCTTCCGGCCCATAACGTATTGCCTTCCGGCCCATAAAATAAAAAGCATACATAACATAACAAAACATAGAACAGCCAAGCATATTGGGTCAAACTCCAGTCTAAACAACCCTGTGCACATAACATTCAATCATATAACAGTTCGCAGTCAACAAATCGATCAAGCAGATCACATAACATATCATTACCCTAACCAGGATACCGACCTAGCCGATCACGAGCATATATCACCCTACGTCTCAGTCAAGATACTACTTACACACATACGCCTTTCCAGGCCATGACCATCCGGTCCACATAACGTAGAATGCCTTCCGGCCCATATGATAATGCCTTCCGGCCCATATCATAATGCCTTCCGGCCCATATCATAATGCCTTCCGGCCTATATCCAGCAATACCATAACAAACAACTACCCGGATTTCCATCCGGTAAAGGGTCAGCCTTGGTGTCGTAGACCCTATTGATATAGTGAGGATAACTCACCTCGAACTGTCGGCTGAAAGGATAAGATCCCGCTGCACCGAACTCCGACACGAACTCCTCTACTAAACACCAAAACACTCAACTCAATATATATATCCATAATTACCAAAATACCCCTATACGACAACTGGTCAACCTTGGAAGAAGTCAAAGTCAACCCCTGACTGACTCTACTCGTCGAGTCAACCCGATGACTCGCCGAGTCCCCAAGCTCAGAACTTCCCTCAACCCGCGACCTAACTCGCCGAGTCACCCCGAGACTCGTCGAGTCCAACAACTCTGAGTCCACTCGCACGCAACTCACCGAGTCATCTCTTGACTCACCGATTCTCGACTCAACCAGAAATTAATGGGACTCTTCGACAAGACTCACCGAGTCCAAGAACAGACTCACCGAGTCTAAGTCTATCTTCAATCTACTCGCCGAGTTATTTATCCAACTCGTCGAGTTCCAGCTTATCTTCAAGCAACTCATCGATTCCACGTTTGTGGGAGATCAGGGCAGACACATTTTTGGAAAGTGTGGGAGGGGTCACACTGGAGTTTGTCAGTCCGGTGGTGCATGCCACAAGTGCGGAAAGGAGAGGCACTATGAGATGGATTATCGGCAGTCAGTGCCGGTTTAGGATTTGAGGATCTATTATCATTGTCCTCAGGTTGGGCACTTGAGGGTCAACTGCCCA